AGGGAGAGGAAAGGTGGCTGTGTGACAAATCTCTGCAGTTTTGCTCTCAGCCACTAGGGATCCCTCCTCACCAAATATTTGCCTGTGCCGAGTGGTGCAGAAGCAGAACTGCCCCTGGGAGAGGACCATACAAGCTAAGCTAAGACCCAGACATGCTTGGAGTGGCCAGTGGACAGATGCAGTCAGACAGAAGGGGCTTGGCCAAGGCCTCTGAGCTGCACCAGGGCACAGACCCTTGGAACACCTGTGAGAGAGGGGCCCCTAAAATGACTGAGTTTGAATTTAAAACTAGCCTCCTGATGGGGTGAAAAGTAGGTTTTGAATTGGATTTAAGATTATTTAGGGAAATGTAATATTTTTTGCACTCTATGCACTATTTTCTTGATTATTATGGACAAGATTCAAATCTACTATACATGAAAACACTTACCCCAAGACCTGGAGCATTGCATGTGTTCAGTAAACAGTAGCCAATGTTATTAAAACCAGCTGAAGAGCAATGGGCGCAGACTGGATTTGAAGCAAATAAAATTAAATTAAATAGAATCCTGCAGGTGTTTTCATGCCCATTATCTTCTGGGCATTGAGAATATAAGACACAGACTTCCCTTGTCCTAGAAGAGCAGTTAGTGCAAAAACAGGCTCGTACATTGTTAACTCCGCCTCATGGCATAATGTGACACGTACCGCAGTGGGAGAATGGGCAGCATATTGGGTTTGGGATCAGGAAGGCTTCACAGAAAGAGTGACATTTAATCTGGACCCTGGAAGAACAGGTAGAATTTTGATTGGTTGGCAGAAGTCGGGCCCAGCACAGAGAACAGCTTGTACAAAGGCAGGGAGGGGTAAATATATGCCAGGAGTTTTGCATGGTTTGGTATTGACTATTTTTAAAAAGGAGCTATCTGAATAAGGTTAAAATGTCACCATCCAGGGACAGTTTGAGAAGGATCTTCATCCTGTAGGTAATGGAGCACCTATAAGAATTTAAAGCAGGATGAAGGGGAAAAGAAAATATTCTACAAGCTTCCGGAGAAGACAAACAGATCGCAGATGAAGTTTCATGACTCTGAATATCTTTTGGCTTACCAACACTGGAAGCTAAGGAAATATGGAGAAATTCCTTACGAGTTCTGATGGAAATGATTCCAACCTTGAATTTTATACCTATACAAGCTGTCATTGAAATTTAAGAGTAAAGAAGTACATTTTATGACATGCAGGGTAGAAAAAGTTTGCCTCATATGCACTTTTTCTCAGGAAGCTAAAAGAGGATTGCTCCACCAAAATAAGGCGGACCACAAAAGGGCAAATACTGCACACAAGAAACAAGACCCAACACCGAGGACAAGCAAACCCTGACAAGCATGATGAAGGGTGATCCCAGGATGATGGTCGTGTCATCAAGGGCAACTAGTTAAGACTGGAGCAAATAGAAGTTTCTGGGAGTGTTTTATCTGATCATAAAATTGACAGAATGCCTGATGTGTCTGATTGTACTGTGAGGAAATTTGTGATTGATTAATGATAGGTACAAATAAAACCAAGCAAAAGGAAAATAGGACAAATACTAACTCCAAGGAAAACTAAACGTCATCCAGGAAAGGAAGAGCAAGGTTGGTTCACTCTACAGTTTGCCTTTATATGGTCTTGATAACATAAACCCTGAACCCAGCTGGCGTTACAATACAGCAATATGAAAGGAAGGAGGATGTGTGAAAGGGGTACTTTTTTTTTTTTTTGAGGATGAAAATCTTAGAAATCCTCCTCTTCCATTGTACAAAGTACAGAGATAAAGCCTAAAGCTGAAAAAAATCTAGATGTAGCAACACAAACATGTTATTTGGAGACAAGAGGTCAACACTAACAGACTCTCTTAAAACAGTTGAAAATTATTGCCGGTAAGGGTGAGAACATGGTAGGAGAGGGGGCTGGAGGCTGGGGTTTCTGTTGCAAATCTTATTGAACTATTTAACTCTTTCAGCAATACACATAATGTAATTTTGTTTAAAATTACAATGGAAAGAGAGTGAATGGGAAGAGGGAACTGAGGCAACCCACGCAGGACACTCCCTCACAGAACACCACTGGAAGGAGCTTGTGGGAGAGGAAGGGCCGGGTTACAAGACAGAGAGGGGATTTTGTGTTCTTGTTACAGTATGTGGGAGAGATGACATCTTAAGGAGGGGGCTGCAAGAAGGAGAGTTTGAATGTATAGAAGAGGAGGTGGTGAATGAACATCGGCAGTGGCATCATCATAACTCACTGCAGCCTTGAACTCCTGGGTTTAAGCCTCAGCCTCCCAACTGAGCCAAGTGCCACCATGCCTGGATAATTTTTTCAATTTTTTTGTAGAGACAGGCTCACTGCATTGCCCAGGCTGGTCTCAAACACTTGGCCTCAAGTGATCCTCCCAACTTAGCCTCCCCAAATACTGGGATTACAGGCATCAGCCACCATGCCCAGCTTGTAGATCTATGCTTAAAGGCACTAAAGGGAGTCAGATCAAGAATGCAGGAGGGAAATTTTTTTAAATGAAAGACAACTGGGTCAGCACCTATAGCTCAGCAGCTAGGGCACCGGTCATATACACCAGAGCTGGCAGGTTAGAATCCAGCCTGGGCCTGCCAAACGACAATGACAATGACAAGCAAAAAATAGCCGGGCATTGTGATGGGTGCCTGTAGTCCCAGCTAGTTGGGAGGCTGAGGCAAGAGAATCACTTAAGCCCAAGAGTTTGAAGTTGCTGTGAACTGTGACGCCAAGGCACTCTACCCAGGGCAACAGCTTGAGACTGTGTCTCAAAAAATTAAAAAGACTACTTTGAGACTAGAAGAGAAAAATGTGAGTCTACAGGAAGATATATAAATAGAAAAGATTTGGAATTGTTCTAGAAGTTCTAGTGACTTCTGGGTAATAAATATATGCATAGTCAAAAATAGCACATTTCCTTTGGTCAAAAGAAGACACAATTTTAATGACTTTATTAAACCTTAGGACAGAGATCACAGGAATGTCTTTCCAATAATATATCAAGTAAACTTTTAAGCAAACTATCAGCAAAGATCAGGGCATGCTGGGAACAGACATATCTTAGGGTGTCTTTGAGAACAAACCCATAATTCTTTCTCTGAGAACAACCCGACCCCTCACCCCAGAGGTGAATGCTCAGCAGCCATGTTTTTACTAGGAGGAAATTTATGGTTTCCTTGTCCCCTTGCTCTAAGTTCATAGGCTGGAATGGACTTCTGCCCTAAGTATGGCTGATCACGTATTTTTTCTAAGAATTTAAAGTTGCGACCAGGAGACAGTCTCTAAGTGTGGTGAGAGCTGAGTTAATACACACTCAGGAGCTGTAGGGTGAACCTATTGACTGAAAAGGACAGTCAATTCACAGAGAGAATACAGCCGACACACAGAGGGATGTAGGGAACACAGACCATATAGCCCAGAGAGTGGGCCAGAGGGGCAGCTCCAGGTGCCCTGGCCTTTTTGGTTCCGAGCTCTGTTCCCGTGAAGCCTACCTAAAACCCATCCTTGGATTCTGTGCACCACCGCTGTGTCTCCACTGTTAATATCCTCTTCTTTGCATGTGATCATTTTAAGAGTTTCCATCACTGGCAAACAAAATCCTTGCCTAAGATGATCCTCCCCACTTCCATCAGAGTTTTCTGGTCATTGATTTCTCCCAATTTATTCTTTCTTGGGAAGTCTACTATGTTCCCATAAATTCTTGATTTCTTTCTTTTCCAGGACCAAATGCTTACAATTCAAAATCCCATCTTGCTCCTGGTTACTTGTGTCTTGATCAACTTTAATGCCCAAATAGACCTAGGTTCTCTAGAAAGCCTTCCTGGTCCAGCTCAGGGATCCCTCCCTCTGAACACCTTCAACAGCACCAGTCCAAGCCAGTGGGGCCCAGTTACCAAACCATAGCTTAGGTCTACGATGGCCACATCAGAGTCACCTAGAGCATGTTAAAAAGTACAGGCTCCCTGTTGCTGCCTCTGCAGTCCCTGTGATTCTAATTCGATAGGTCTGAGTGATGCTTGTACTTTTAAAAGTCTCCCAGTGAGTCTTATGTATGTTATGGTTTGAAAACTACTCATCTGTACCGCTCATTTGTACTTGACAAATGTATAGTTCCTTATCTCTTTGCAAGTTTTAAATTTTGTTCACAGTAAACTAAAGTCCTCCAGGACACATATTTAGAGTGTTCTGGTGGATCTCCCTTAGACCTCCTCTCCTCCCACATGCTTGGCTGATCAATTCTGTTAGCCTCCTGCCTGCTCTGATTGACCCACCAAGGGAAGTAGCCAACTTGTCTCAGCCTTGGACCTCTCTGTCTCACATGGGACTCTAAGGAATGTAGACAAAGAAGATGACATCATGGTTAGACAATGGCCTCCTCACACAGCATAAGTCCAGATAGGAGTAGAATCCCATGAGCCTCCCTTCTCCCAGTGTCCAGAGCTGTCCTTGGTTGAGTGAGTTGCAAGGAACAGGACACTCTGCATGCCTTTCAGGGCTAATCTGAATCCTAGGACTATAGTTCATGAAGTCCATATGAAGTGGCACATTCACAAAGTAACACACAATGGGCCAAGTGGAGCAAGACACAGCTGGACAGCTTGAGGACGGCTGCCAGCCCCAGTACCCTGAGGTCATGCTCAGCGGTCACCACCAGGGTCCCTTCTTCCAGATCCCTACATCCCTTAACACTCTAGCAGAACTGGCCAAGATCTGGCAAAATGATACAATGTAAACACTTTAAAGAATTCAGTGCTGCTAGCCAGAACTTGGGGGGGGAGAGAAAGTGTTTTGAAGGGGAAGGGAAGTGGGGTGGTGCCCCACAAATCCTGCCATGAGCACTATGGCCAAAAAGGAGGGGACCTGTAGGATGGAGGTGCATCGGTTCAAGGTCAGCACAGTGGGGATGCACTAGCAGACTCAGCGGTGAGCATGCAAGGGCTGTCAGAAACCTGCTGGGATCCACAAGGTGTCTTGACAATCGCTTCTCTCAGAGAGGTCATTACCTAAAGGAGCAAAAACCACATGGCCAAAGTTGTTCAAGCTCATGATTCCAGGATCCTATTATCCCCAAGTGCCCACCACCCCCACACCTTACTCCCTTCCCCTCCCCCTGCTTTTCTCCTCCCTGCCCACTGCTGTCCATACACCCCTTCCCTGGCCCCTTTCCTTCCCAGAGAATCTCTGATCCTCCACCCTGGTCCTGCTCAGAGTAGTCCACTCTCCTCCCCCACCTCCCAGACTCCTGGGGCCTCGGCACCTGGGAGCACTGGACTGGCATGTGCCTTTGATGATGAGGATGGTGCCCACAAGGAAGCCCACCAGGCCCATGGCCAGGCCCAGGGCCCACAGCAGGGTTTCTGTGGTATCTGGCAGCGGGGTAGGCACCTGGGGCTCTGCGAGAGAAAAAATGGGGTGGGGATACTGGGGTAAAAAGAAGGGTTCTGGAGTAAAAGGAGAAGGGTCCAGGAGGGGACTAAGGAGGGCTCTGTACCCCAGTGCCTGAGGAGTGGCGCGTCCAGGCCCCAGTGCTCCACCCGGCAGTCATAGACGTCCTTGGCCGTGGGCACAAAGGCTAGGTAGTGGAACTTGCGGAACATATGGTCAGGCTGGGAATAGAAGCTGGTCTGGGCCACTCCCTCGGTGACTGTTTGACCATTGCGCAGCCAGGTGACATTGATCACAGGTGGGAAGATGTTGTCCACAATGCAGATGAGGATGTTGGGCTGGCCCAGCTCCACCCGAGACTTGGGGAGCACGGTCACCCTTGGAGGCACTAGGAGGAACGAAGCCCTGAGTCCCTGGCCTTTCTAGGACTGGGACTAAAGGACAGTTCATCTGACCCAGGCACCTGTGGGAAGGCTCTGGGAGGAGACCTGGAAGGGTAACCACAGGGGCAGGAGAGGAGGGAAACAGAGCTGGGGCACCAGGAGTTCCAATATCTCATTGGCCCCAGGTGGGAGTTGCTTCCTCAAGAAGGAAGCAGGTGCTAAGGGGCCCGGGAAGACCCAGCAGGATGGGGAACCCACAGCCTTAAGGCTAACTCCAAATTTTACAGAATAAATTCTTTTAATAAATCCTTCCTATCAATGAAAGGTTTTAGTCTATAAAATTTGGATTCGGTCAAAAGGTGGCACTTAAGTATCTAGAAGGCCACACGTGAGCACGTGCCTGGGAGGCTGGAAGAAGCTTCTCTGGGTGCCCCCTGCCTGACCAGGCAGACTGAGGGAAGGCCAGGTACCATTGGTGGCTCTGGTGCGGTTGGAGCGTTCCACCAGGACGTCCAGGTGGTCTCTGATCATGGCGATGCTGTTCAGCCCTCCCTGTGGGTCAAAGTAGGCGAAGTCGCCAAATTCAGGCAGACGCCACACAGCCTGCCTTTCCTTCAGGTCCACAGAGAACAGCTGTTCCCCATCAAATTCATGAGTGAACTGGCCGGAGGCACCGTGAGACTGGTAGAAGGCTGGTCCGTAGGAGCCCACGTGGTCGGCTGTATTGGGTGAGTTCAGAGTCAGGGAGAGAGAAGAAAACGTATCAGTGTCAACCATGATAGGTGACATGTTGAGTCTCTGAGCCTGGGCTGCATTTTGCCTTCTGTGTGGGGACAGCATTCTATTCTGACACTGAGTTGGCCCTTGCAGAGTGGAAGGGAGAACATGGATGGGAAAAGGCACAGCCGTGCATGGCACAGCATGGAGACACAGGCTCAGGCTGCCACACCAGGCTGGGAAGAGGAGAAGCTGCTGAAAACCAAGCTTAGGACTCTGGAAGTTAAATCTTGGCTGTGGTCACCTGCTCAGGCTGTGTTATCAGGCCCTGTGTGAGGTGGTGGCTTATCGGGTGAGATGAGGAGGACGTGATTAGGCCAGGAGCATGGTGGAGCTTTACACAGAGATGCAGTGCAGGGGCATGTGAGGGGGCAAAGGCCATGATGGGCAGCACTAAGTAAGATTTGTGATCCAGAGACCGTGGAGAGAGAAGAAGGCTGCCCATGACTTTACAAGGAGGACAAGAAGTCAGGTCAGGTTCATGTGTCAACTCTTCCATCTCAGAACATTATGATTGAACATGTCTCTTCCAAAACTGAAGCTCAGTTTTCTGGAGATTAAGGGTTAGATTTTAATTAGTAAGATTTCTGTAGCATTTTCTGTGCATTTATTTTTTCACCAGTCACTACACCCTGGCACTGTACCAGTCTCATGGTATAAAGATGACCTGCACACCAGGGGCTCATGTCTAGGGCAGAACAAAGACAGGAAAACAGTCAACCACAACTCACAAACATGGTCATAAATACTGTGGCAGAGCTGGACTTGAACAGACATATTCTAGGCCAGAAAGTGGTAAAGAAATCAGGGTGCTGGTGTTACCAGCTACTGTTCACCTGAATGGCCATTTCAGGCAGGGCACTGCTGGTCAGGCCCTAACAAGGCCAGATGAGCCTACCTCCTGACATCTGGAGATTGTTTATTCACTTCTAAGGCTACTGTCATAGATAAAGTGGGGAACTGGACTCTATGGTACTGGTCAAGGACCCAGGGCACTCTCTGCACGCAGTGAAATGTTGACTAACTATAAATTAGTCTAGAGTAAAAATGTTTTGAATATATAACCACTTTAAGATTAGAAGATATTGGGTAACCTTGTAGCCTATGAGGGCGAATCAGACCTGTACTATGATGAGTTAATAACATTGCTGATGTTTACTTTTACTGAGAGAATAGAAAGTAACAAAGAGAAAGAGGAGGACAGAGCAGTTTGGGGGGAGATGTCCCTGCTGCTTTTCTGTAAAAGTGAAACTATTGATCTCTCATCTGCTTCTCTGCTTAGGTGACAGGTAGACAGGTTGGCAACAGTGGGCACAGGTGAGATGGAGACTTGGGTCCCAGAAAGGAGTGAGGAATGGGGAGAAGTATGAACAAAGGCTGAAAGAGACACTGGCCGGTGTGAGCTGCCCTTATATTTAGGTCCAGGACAGATGTGATAGAGATGAGGGCATCTAGGGGTCTCTGGGTGAAGGAAGTGACCCCCTACCCAGGGAGGGAGAGTAATAAACATCATGTATTGTCACCTCCCTCACATGACCCAGCTCCCTAGATGTCTGCTGCCCCCATGACCCTCAGCACTCACCCTTGATGGCCCCTGCTTCCTGGGGGCTCAGGAGAGTCACCAGGGTTTGGAGTCCCAGGACCAGCTCTGCTGGGAGGGCCATCGCCCTCTGATGCTTTAAGCAAATAAGTCTCAGTCCATCCATGTGGGGAGTAAAGGGATAAGGCCAAAGAAGAAAACAGATTCTAGGATGAAGATCCTTCAGCCAATCGGAGACATTCTCTGAGTTAATGCCTTGTTGCTGGGTAAAGAAGGAAAGAGCCTGGGTGAGAAGGAAGAGCTCCCTCCGCCCACAAGCACCCGGGAGGTAAATGTCAGAGGAGAGTCAAGGGAGGTTCTGCTTTGGAGAATGGAGGGGCTTGATCAACCATTATTACATCCTCCAAGAAGGAACCCCTGAAGGGAGGAGAAGGCCATCAGAGCCCCACACAGTTGAACTCAGACAAATCCTCTCTGTCTTGATTTGTGACGTAGGGAATCCAACTTTCCCTATGAATTTCTTCAGACAAATTTGAAGTTAGAAAACAAAATAAATGTTATCAAGAAACTTTAAAAGGAAAACATTAGATGCACACTTGAATAGAAAACCCCCTTAAAACTTTAAATCACTTTCCAAAATATTATTTTATTGCATTGTATTAAAAACCCATATAATTGAAAATGTTTAGTCTAAAGAAGAGTGTGAGGAGGGCAGAAAAGCTGGTCCTTTCCATTGTGGTGTCCCCAGGCCCATGTGGCCTGCAGCACCCTTGTCTTTGATTTATGATGGGGCTCAGCCAGTAGCAAGCACTGGAAGAATTTAATCCAATTTTAGAAATATAAAAAGCTAACTGTCTGTCTCAGGAAAGAGAAGGCCAACACGATATCTGAAGGCCGTTTATCAAAAAACATGAAATAAGTGATTTTCCCCTTGGAAGGGATCTAGGAAATTAACAGGTCTATTATCAGGAAATTATTCCAAACAAGAATCACCTGGACAGTTTGTTAAAACTACATATTCCAGGAATGGGGCTGGTGCGGCCTTGCACAGAGGTCCGCATTGTCTTTGTATCACCTGTGGTTACTCCAATTCCCCTTCAGGGTCTTGGGTCTTTCGAAGAACTGACCCTGGGTTGGTGAGGTGCAGTGTAGAAGGGAAGATGACCCAGATGGAAGAGGCGAGGGGAGCCGGCAGTGCCCCTCCCACGTCCCACTTCATGAAAGCTGCCTCCCATTTTTTCAGGCCCCTTTTGGGTGTTTTCTTTTGTGCCCATCTAGGTCTTCTCCATGAAGGTCTTTGGCCCCTTCCTTCTGTGGGGCAACCACTCTCATCTTGTCATCTCTTCCCAGGTGGCCTCAGACTGCAGCACTGTCACACCTAGAGGCATGTCAGCCTCTTTGTTCTGTGGCGCAGACTATGATTAAAGAGTGCCAGTTATGGCTCAGCTCCTGTAGCTCAAGTAGCTAAGGTGCCAGCCACATACACCAGAGCTGGTGGGTTTGAATCCAGCCTGAGCCTGCCAAACAATAACAACTCCAAGCAAAAAATAGCCAGGCATTGTGGTGGGCACCTGTAGTCCCAGCTACTTGGGAGGCTGAGGTAAGAGAATTGCTTAAACCCAGGAGTTGGAGGTTGCTGTGAGCTGTGATGTCATGGCACTCTACCCAGGGCGACAGCTTGAGGCTCTGTCTCAAAAAAAAAAAAAAGTTATTTGGGGCTGCCTGGCTGTAAACTGATGTGCAGTAGTATCGTCCTGGGGGTAGACAGTCCTAGCTCTGCCACTAAGTCTTTAGCCTTACTGGTATTAGGGATTATTGTACTTCTCAGGGAATAATTTATGTACCTGAAAAAGCTGGTCGGTTCTGCAGTATTAATATCTTTCATCTTTATACATAAAGCATCCACGTGTAATCTAAAATTCCATGTTTAGGTGTGTGCTGCATTTTCATTAGATAAAGAGTTGTTAGAGTAAAACAATTTCCTTATAGTGGCAAGATTTTGTGATCTAGGTAGCACAAATTTCAGTTTATTTAAGATAAACTCTCCCCCATCCAAAATAGCAGACAACACTGTATTGCAGTACAGTTAATAAAGATATTTGTAATTTGGGGCAAGGTATTTGGGTTCAAATCGTATTTCTTCAGTCTGTAACTACTAATTCCATTTGAAACAATGGCTTGTCTCACTTCCACAAATGATCCCACTATGTATATAATTAACCAACATATGGATGAGCTTACATATCTCTTTTTCAAAAAGGTTTTGATGTGACTTGAAATATAAATGTTAAATTTTAATAAAATAATATGTGGAGGTTCTTACCCCATCTAGGCCATTCTCTTGACTGCGTTGTATTTATTTTTGTAGTTGGGCCTAGAAATCTGCTATATTTTATCTCAATAAACTATTAGAGAATCTGCTTGAGTCTCTTCATTGTTCTATATAAAAGAAGTATATTTAGTAGAATAAATAAAAAGTACTGAAAACTAATGCAAATACATATTCCTGGGTTCCCTCTTGACCTAATGAGCTAGATGAGCTTTTCTAAGGTAGGGAGGGCCAGGGAACCTGTGCTTTGTGCATGCTCCCTAGGCGATGCTTGGGCAGCCCGGAAACTGCCTTCTGGTAAAAACTGCCGTGATGCTCTCAGTGAATAAGGGTTTCCTCCACCGAGGGGAGCAGATTTCAAATTAACAAAATTACAGCTAGTAATGGATTTAGGTGGCACAGTTTATGGGAGGCCTAATCTCAGTTCTTTTTGTTTCCATCCCCCAGCATCTAGAATATAGTGGATGCTCAGCAGGTTGTCTGTGCATGAATGAACCATCTCCTCACTGCTTTCATCCTGGCCTGGTTGGGTCGCTCACTGCCTTTATCTCTTCTAAGGTGCGGTGGGATCTCTGGTCATGGGAGGATGGGGCAGTAGGATGGATAAGTTATTCTAAACTCATGATAAAGAATGCTACTTCTTTGTTTAGTAAAAATTGGGTCAAGTATACTTTATTTCAAAATATTTGGAGATTTTTTAAGTGTATATCTTTTGTTATTAAAATTTAATTGCACGCTAATCCAAGAAACTTGTCATTCTTTGAAGTTTATTGAGTCTTGCTTTATGACTTGGAGTGGGGTCCATTTTTGTAAATGTTGATGTGTGTGCTCATGAAATAGATGAAGAATCTTATACATGTACGTGTTCATTAGACCAAGCATGCTGATTTTGTCATTTTAATCTTTTTTTTTTTTTTTGTAGAGACAGAGTCTCACTTTATCGCCCTCAGTAGAGTGCCATGGTGTCACACAGCTCACAGCAGCCTCCAATTCCGGGACCTAGGCAATTCTCTTGCCTCAGCCTCCTGTCACAATGCCCAGCTATATTTTTGTTACAGTTTGGCCAGTGCCGGGTTTGAATCGGCCACCCTCAGTATATGGGGCTGGTGCCCTACCCACTGAGCCACAGGCACTGCCCCATTTTAATCTATTATATCTTTCCTTATCTGGGGGCTGACCTATAAGTAATAAAGAGTGGCATATTTAAACCTCTATGATAACTGTAGGTTTTTCAATATTTTTCTATTCTTTAGATCAATTTTTGCCTCTACACATTTAGGTTATTAACTGCTTATTTCTTGGAATTATTATAGTCTTGGTGAATTGAGCTTTTTTCCAATTTGTTCTCACAGTCTCTCTCTCTTTTCTTTTTTTTTTTTTTGTCACAGACTCACACTATGTGCCCAGGTTGCATGGCTGGTCTCGAACTCCTGGCCTTAAGCAATCCTCCCATCTTAGTCTTCCAAGCAGCTGGGATTACAGGCATGACCCTTGTGCTATTGATGTCCTGATAGCCTCCATCTTGAAGTCTGTCTTATCTGATGTTAAGAAGCCCCACAACTATCGCTGGATATTACTTTGCTTTTGTTTTTACTCTTTCTGTGTACTTCAGGTGTAACCCTTGTAACTGTCATAAAGATTGATTTTGCTTTTGATTCAATCTGACAATCTCTGTCTTCCAAGGGGTGGTTCAGGCCATGTACGCATATTAGTCAAAGTGAGCAAACTTGTTCCTGCAAAAAGCACTGAAGCCTCAGTGGTTTTAACAAAACAGGTTTACTTTTTTACCCATGTGTATTTCAAAGCAGGTTGGACATTCTGTGGCTCTCCTCTAAAAAGTTCCTCATGAAATAGCCAGCGTTATGACAGGTGCCTGTAGTTCCAGCAACTTGGGCAAGAGAATCAATTGCTTAAGCCCAGGAGTTTGAGGTTGCTATGAGCTAAGATGCCATGGCACTCTACCAAGGGTGACAAAATGAGACTCTTTCCCAAAATAAATAAATAAATAAATAAATAAATAACAAGTTCCTCATGAACCCAGGCTAGCTTCATTTTGCATCTCCACTATTGCAAAGAATTTTACTTCCAGCTTTGCAGGTGGGAACAAGATCCCAGGGAAGGCACAGCTGTCCATATGGCCTTGGACCAGAAACTAACTGCCACCTCTGCTCACATTCCATTGTCAAGAAGTAAACAATGACTCCACTCAGAGGGGCCCAGAAAAATATACTTTAGTAGTATGTTCAGGCAGTTGCAGGGGTTTGGAGAGAAGATGGCACTATCTTTACCCCAATTCCTGTTGTGTCTACTGTGGGTATTAATGTTTTTGGACTTGCTTATAATACCTTATTTATTTCAGTATTTCTATTTTTCAAAGTATTTCTATTGTCTTTTTTGCTAAGTGTAATTTATACCTTCTTATCTTCCCTCTAACAGAATAAGAACTTTAGCAGCCTTTCAAATCCATTCATATAGTTTCTCTCTCCTTCACCAAAGTATTCTGTCAACATTGCTTCCCATACCTTTTGACACTTCCTGAAATTTTCTCTCTAATTAGAATACTTCCTCCAAAAGTGTTTTAAATGTGAGTATTTGTATGGAAAATCTTCGAAAGCCTTGCACACTTGAGATTTTGGTTTCTTTTCAAGTCATGGGGCTCTAATGATGTTGCCCAGACTGGCCTTGAATTCCTGAATCAAGCTATCCTCCCCACTTCAGCTGTTCAAGTAGCTGGGATCACAGGTGTTCGCCACTGCACCGGCTGAGAATATTGTTCTTATATTATTACTTTTGAATAAATTTTAGTTGTGTAT